TGCGTAAGATGGAGGGTATGGACTCGATCATTGTTACTTCAGCTGCATGTCTTATTAACTTGTCCAAGTTGTAATCATTATTTTTACTTAACTGAGCAATATGCGTCTTATGTAATTTTTTTCTCTGGCCTGGTGCATAAAAATTGCCTTAATATCGTGTCCTTTTGTTGTTTTTTTGTCACATTTTATAATTTTTTTTACATATTTTTTCTATTTATTATACTTGGTTGGATCAAAACATATAAAATACTTTATATACAACATTCATTAATTCATACACAATGCAAACACTTACTCACTCATGCTGTACACTCATTACGACCCTTACATTACACAGTTAATGTTTTTGGACAGCACTGTACTAATTACAAAACACACACCACAATAATCCTATGTACACTTCAATGGTATACCTATAAAAATCGCTCTTACATGACCTTTTTATTATGTGGGTGGTCACTGATTGTGCTGACTGTAGTGACAAACCCATGGCGCTTGCTTCAAACTGTCTGTGTGGCTTTATTACTTTTACTATGCTAGACTTAGCTTCTTTAAATAGTGATATTGACGCAATAGGACAGTCACAAGTTCATGTGTGTAAGACCGAAAATTTTGACGGTCTCTTACCTGATAGTAAAAACTCATTAAAAATATTACATCTAAATATACGCAGCGTTAACCGAAACTTTGATAATCTTATTGTATTCTTGAAATCTATACGTATATTACCAGACATTATAGTCCTCTCCGAATGCTGGTTAAGTAAAACCATATACCTTCCGTCACTCGAAGGTTACACAAGCTATCACACTATTAACAATTCGAACCAAAACGACGGCGTTGCTATCTTTATTAAATCTACAATATCTCACAACGTCACTGAATCGACTATTCCGCGATCAAATTGTCTTATTTGTAAACTTAAATCCTTAAACTTTGCCATAGTAGCTCTGTACCGTCCCCCCAGTAATGATAACTTAAATATTTTTTTAAATGGGTTGGACGCTACACTTTCATCCATCTCCAACTGGAAGAATATAGCGGTGATCGGCGACATTAATATAAATATTATCCCGACAAATTTAAGCTCACATGCGAATGATTATCTAAACATGACTGCCTCGCACGGGCTCCTCCCCACGCATAATCTTCCCACTAGAGGAAGTAACTGCCTCGATCATACCCTTCTAAAGTCCGGATACAAAAATACAACCATTATATTTGATACATCAATCACCGACCATTATCCGGTGATCTTAAGTATTGAAAACAATTTATCTCAATTATTAAAAGAAAACCAAAATACCGTCAAAGTAGACTACCCTTTACTATATGAAGCCGTCTCCTGTACTGACTATAGTAAAATTTTGAATATGTCAGACCCAAATGCTGCTGCTGAAATGCTGGTAGGTACTATCAGCTCACTAGTTAAATTACATTCGACAGTTTTGTATGTACCCTCTAAACAAAAAATCCTTAAACCCTGGATTACGAAAGGGCTATTAAGATGTATCCGAAACCGAGACTCAATGTGTCGTAGGCTAAAGGCAAACCCACACGATTTCATACTTAAAGTCACCTATATTAGATACCGTAATTTTTGTAATAAGCTACTAAAGAGACTGAAGCATGAATATGAGAAATGTGAATTACAAAAAGCTCAGAAAAATCCTAGAAAAACTTGGAAAGTGATTAAACAAATTATACAATCGGACCATCCTAGAAACATATCTATCGAGCTCTTAAATGGTGGAGGCGATATATCAACATCAGTAAATGGAATAAATGAGTATTTCTCCAATATAGGTAAAAATCTAGCTCAGAAGATCTGTCCTAACTTGCAGGGTCATATACAATTGTCAGACGATGACATTGTTGCCAGCTCACTTGCGTTGCTCCCCGCAGACGAGGGTGAAGTGGCTGGGGTGATCTTTGGTTTGCGTGGGGGTACCGCTGTGGGCTGGGATGGTATACCAACCCAACTGTTGCAAAAGTGCTCGCACACTCTAGTCCCCATAATCACACATATATGTAACATATCGATGACTCAAGGCATGTTCCCGAAATGCTTTAAAAAAGCCGTTGTTCATCCAATCCATAAGGGTGGTGTCAGGGACAGTGTCACCAACTATAGACCTATATCTGTTTTGCCTGTATTATCTAAAGTTCTGGAAAAACTGTTGAACTCCCGTCTACTAAGCTTCCTTACAGCAAATAATATCTTGGCTCCAAATCAGTACGGCTTTAGGGCCTGTACATCGAGTGAAGATGCGGTTGCCTCTGTCGTAGACAAAATAGTGGATAATCTGGATAGTAAGCGGAAATTTATGGGCATTTTTCTTGATCTTACGAAAGCATTTGACACTGTGTCTGTCCCACACCTCCTGCAGAAGATGGAAAGGATGGGTATACGTGGATACGCTCTCCGAATCTTTAGTGATTATCTGTCGGATAGGCAACAGTGCGTGAAAATTGGTTCTTTTCTCAGCAGCAGTGCTCCCGTTCAGTTTGGCGTGCCCCAGGGCTCGGTGTTGGGCCCTACACTATTTCTCTTATAGGTGAACTCTTTGTGCAATATCCCTCTACTCTCCAGCGATATATATGTATATGCGGATGACACCACTCTGCTTATTCATGGTAAAGATTGGTCCGAAGTGTATACTAGAGCTGAGGAAGTACTTAGAAAGGTAATGCTTTGGCTAAAAAATAATCTATTAACTCTCAATTTGAGCAAAACAACCTACCTAACTTTCAGTTCAACGGTCACAACACAACCATCCTTAACTAACTTTACCCTTAGAGCTCACAATAACGATTGTCCTGTAAATGCCTCACCATCCTATTGTAGCTGCCCCACAATAGGGACATCTAATACGATAAAATATCTCGGGGTCTACATTGATAACCTTGTAAATTGGAAGTACCAACTTGCTTGTCTCGTCGCCCGAGTTCGAAAAATGATCTTCATTTTTAAAAAACTTCGCTATTCTGCTGACTTCAACACACTAAAAACTGTTTACTATGCCTTATGCCAGCCTATATTGACATACTGTATAACGGTCTGGGGAGGTGCTGCCAAAACCATTTTTCTACCTCTGGAACGCGCACAGAGAGCTGTTCTTAAAGTGATGATTTTTAAGCCTTTTAGATATCCTACTATCAAGATTTTTCATGACTGTCAGCTACTCACTGTGAGACAGCTATTTGTGTTACACACTATTTCCCGAAAGCACTCCTCTCTGGTGTATGATTCTGGTTATGCCGGAAGGAGTCGTGCACATCATGTCTGCCCCATCCCAACTTTCAGGACCACTTTGGCAACACGGCACCATAAGGTTCTGGGGTGTCATTTGTATAATGTCATAAATAAGTTCTGCAATATTTATCGCCTCTGTGGGTCTAAATGTAGGAGAATAGTAACTGAGTGGCTACTGAACAAATCTTACGATGATACAGAGAACCTACTTCGATTTTCAACGCTATAAAACCATACACCCATACAGACTCAATTCAAGACACTCACACACAGTCCAGAGACAAACATACACACACACGCGCGCACACACACACACACACACACACACTAACACACACACACACACTCGCACATACACACACACAACGCGCGTGAGCGCGCACACATTCCAACATTTTTTGTGTTTGTGAAATATTTTAATTTATAATGCACTAATATTGTAACAACAAGTCACTAAGATAGTGTTTTGCTTGTTTTGTATATGTTTATGCGAGAGCCCTGGTTACCCATACTACAAGTTTAATCTTACCTTGGGTACCAGAGTTCAATGAAATAATGTGATGGTTATGACACCTAGAAACATGTTTACCTTGAATCAAATTTTTTTGGCAAATAAATTATTATTATTATTATTATTATTATCTCGTCGCCACACAAGATACCTGTCGTCAAACAATTCACTATCAGAAATGCCTTCCATTAGCCATGTTTCCGTCAGGCAAATAATATCATAAGAATTAGCACACATATTTCTATAAAAAACACCTGTCTTGGTTCGTAGTCCCCGCACATTTTGATAGTAAATAATAATGGGAGCCATCATAAATCACAATCATAAAACACTGGCATTTGTATAGACAATTGAGAGGTACATTCCACTCGCGATAAGAAAACAGTTGTCATAAAATAAAAATATGTCCCAATAATTAAGCGATTTAAAGCTTTGTGGACAATCATGTAAAGTTCATAACATTTAAAACGGCAGTATGAGCATTTAGAATAAAAGATAATGTTATTGTAAGTAAAAAGGTGAAATAAAGGCAAGCAAGATGCGGTCTTTTGGTAATAGGTATAGCGTCTAGTATTATAGGAGCAGGGATTTGCGAATTCTTTACAATATTGAGATAAGCGAACAATAGGCCGTTGGGTTTGCAATGAATGAAATAAATAGATACTCGTACCTGCGGTTCTCAATGTTGCTCGGATGGCACGACTTATTGATATGTCGGAATGTAGAATCGAGTAATTTAGAATAAAAACTTTTTCAGGTCATGTTCTGTTTTGATGTGATGCATTGGTGAAGTGTGGTTTTTTCTTATAAAGATTTTACATCCTTTGACCCATACGTGTTCGAAACCACGTTCTTTGGCTCGAGCTTTCGTTTTATTTAGTAGGATTTTGTTGTCCAGTGTTAAGTGGTCATTGATGTAGACCCTGTTCTCGCCTGGTAATCCAAGTTCACCGACCTTTAACAGCTTATGCTTCCTTGCAGCCGCCACGAAATCACTCTTCAAATAACTATTATGTACGGAGCAAATTATGTTCTTATGATTTTTGTCATTACGCATCGGTACCCTGGCAACATAGTTAATTTGGTCCTTTGATATGTGACAGCCAATTATATCCCCAATTTTTTAACAAAAATATAGTAAACAAGTTTTCCGAGTTAGACATTGGGACTCCTTTGATTTCGATATTATTTAACCGGGACCGTTGCTCAGTTTCACGATGCAGACTCTCCAGTTTATCCACCTGTTCTCTTAGAATTGACATTTCCTGTTTGTTTTTTTTTCATTGAGTCAAGTTCTTCCTCCAGGCTTGATACTCTGTTACTCAAGGTTTCAATTGAACCATGCACAAACTCAATCGACGATTTCATGTCCGCAAATTCTGCTTTGATCATTTTGAGCTCAGATAGTTCCTGCTGTATAGCCTTGACACTGCTCACCAGAATTGGCAAAGCTTCCATTTGCGTTGTTAATCTTTTGAGTTCAGACAGAATTGTATCCGCATCCGTTGATGAAGCCTTAAGAGTATTAGTGCGGGGGCTTACCGCAGCCAGAGCTTTACAGCTACCACATTTCCATGTAGCTTTTCGGTCCCCAAGCTTTCTCCATCCAGCTTCGGTGATGCCTGCACAAGGGAAGTCAAACCGCCCTTCACACAAGGAACAAGTAACACCATCCCTGGTTTCGGTGTCACAACGCTTACACGTGAACATTGCGGATAAAAGTTTAAGAAACTCTGTTCGAAGTGGCTGCCGTACAGCCGATAATAGCCGAGCGCAATCCGAGTGCACGCCGAACTACAAGTGAGCGACTCGTGAGCTTATCTTGTTAGTTTGAATGTTGCCGTTGACTAATTTTCAATCGTCTCTGTGATGTGGTCTCTTGATGGATGTCCGATTGGATTCGAGCACTGTATAGGGCACTCGCTACGCAACACAACGCTATATAGTTCGAAGCAGTAAGCTGTACCTAAGTAATATACCGGAATATAAGGTGTACTATGGACTGGGTAGTTCTGCCAATTTATTAAGAAGCAGATCATGCACCTTCTTTTTGAATTATTTTCTGAGCGAAGATTTCTATCGTGATTAGAAGACAGGTAACGCAGGTAGGGAGCGAGGTAAGTAAGTGAGGTCGGTAAGTTTAAGAGTGAAAATAGAGAGGTAAGTGCACGCTGATGGCGACGCAGGCGAATAGGTAACCAGTTTAATTGGGAGCGCAAAGCAGACACATGGTTATACTTCCGAAGATTGAAAACGTATCGAATGCAGTTATTGAGAAGACGGTCCAGTTTATTAAGAAGGTCTGCATTCAGGTCGGTGCATCTGTTTATTGGAATTATTAAGGACTGCATGAGTGTGGTTTTAGTTTTAGGAGGCAGGAAATTCTTTAGACGATATAATGTTCGCAGGTTTTCAGTTACTTTCTGGCTCACGCTAGTAACTTGAGCTCGCCAATCGAGGGTTGAGTCGATGAGCAAGCCCAGGTCTTTGACTATAGGGCTGAATGGAATAACTGTGCCATTAAAGACGACCGGTGAGATAGAGATAGTATCCGATGTGCTCATTAAACGTTTGCTGCCTAGTACAATTGCCTGACATTTGGTTGGGTTAATCGACAGTCCAAATCTCATCGACCAGGATTTTATGGCCTCTAGGTCCCTGTTCACTTCGTCAATAGCCTGCGTTAGTTCCTCCACACTTGCTTGCGAATACAGCTGCAAATCATCAGCATACAGGTGACACGCACACTGAAGATGTTGAGTTATGAGATTAATAAATATGGAGAATAAAAGAGGAGATAAAATGCCGCCTTGTGGGACGCCATCGTAGAGGTCGCACCAACTTGATGATCTATCATCAACACGAACACATTGCTGTTGCCCCTGAAGATAGGTAGAGAACCATTCCAGTGTCTCAGAAGGAACCATAAGATATGTAAGGATAGATAACAGGATTTCGTGATTGACGGTATTAAAGGCATTAGAGAAGTCAACTAATACCAATACTGTGACTTTGGTGTCTTCCATACCCTTTCTAATATCGCCAGTCACTTTAAGGAGAGCTGTAACTGTGCTGTGACCGGGCCTGAAGCCAGATTGAAGAGGGCTTAAAAGTTGGTTTCTGTATACAAATTGAGAGAGCTGTTTATGTACACAGGCCTCGAGTACTTTAGATAAAAAGGGAAGAATAGAAATAGGTCGAAAGTGTTCAGGAAGTGAGGGGTTATTATTTTTTGGTAGAAGAATAATATAAGCCTTGCGCCACAAAGAGGAGAAGGTATCAGAGTCAAGAGAGAAGTTGATTACGTGAGTAATTACTGAGAGAATACAGTCTAGGATGGTGAGAGTCATGTGACGGCTAATGCCATCACACCCCACAGCATTAGAACGGATAGATAGAATAGTCTTTTTGATATCCTCAGGAGACACCGGAGAAAATTCAAACGAGTCAGTAGTGGGACTGGTAAGACCAGATATGCAATTTAGCGTTTGACACTTAGTTTAAAGATCCAGCGTAGTTATGGATGAGAAATGACGGTTGATATCATTCAAACCAATATTATTGTTGAACACTTGATGTTGTTGTTTACCAATTCCTAAAGTACCAAGAAATTTCCGGATATTGGACGAAGAAGAAGACTCTATGTTGTGAAGTATATGTCGGCGTTTAGCATTGCGTGTCACCTGGTTGCACCGATTCCTTGCTGTCTTATAAAGGTTCCATTTGTTTTAGCAGCGATCTTTCTTGAAACGAAGGAAGGACTGGTCCCTTCGTCTCATAGCTGTACGTACCTCCTCTGTCATCCAAGGACCCGGGCACGTTTTAATTTTAAATTCCTAATTGGAGCGTGGACATCGTATAACTTGATAATAGTGTCATTAAAAATCCGGACTTTACTATCCACGTCAGTAGCAGCTGCCACGTCCTCCTAATCTATCTTGGCAGCGTCTTCATGTAGTTTCTCGACATCCATGTGACGGAAACTGCGTAACTGTAGAATTTTAGGAGGTGGTTTGGGAGGTTTCAGGATATATGAAAGGAAGATCAAGTCATGATGGGAAAAACCAGGGGCAAGGAGTTATCCATGAGAAGAGACAAGGTGTTGGGCAGAGGTGAGCATTAGATCTAGCCAGGTATCCTGGTAGTCTAAATTATGGTGAGTGGCTTGAAGGGGCAGGATATGAGGGTTGGTTGCTTGGATGATCTGGAGGAGATTGCATTTACGAGGAGAGTTTAGGGCTAGGAGGTCAGTGTTGAAATCTCCCATGATGATGTGATGTGAGAGCTCCGACCCTAAAGATTCCAGAACTGTTTCCAGACTAGAGAAGTAATTAACAGCGGGGGGGCAATATACTACATCTAGAATTACTTTGACTCCCTTGACACAAACCTCAAGGAATAGGTATTCCGCGTTAGAGAAAGGATTGGAAAAAGAGGCGAGAATTTTAAAAGGAAAGTAACTACGGAGGTAGATAGCGACGCCACCACCTCTTTTATCTAAGCGGTCATTGCGGATAAGTAGGTAGAAGGGGCTTTAGCCAAGTCTCCGAAATCAGGATGGCATGAACGTTGGTGTCAGAGAAAGTCTCGGTTAAATTACTAAAATGACTTGGGACGCTTTGCGCATTTATATGACAAACATTTAGAAATGGACGAGATTGAACGGGCAATGTTTGCCGTAATTGATCACCCAGAGTCTCAGTCAACGAACTGTAACTAACGTCTTCAGAAGAATCATCGGCAGAAAAATATTTATCAGATTCGTCACCGGTCATAAGTGTATATATTATTACAAAAAAAAAGAATTAAAACTAAATAAATACTATAACAGATATATAATGAATATGTACTAAAGATATAGTCGTAAGTGTAGACTATATAAAATATAGGTTGGTATTTCTACACCACCCGTCAGCAGGCACACATACAAAATTAATGTATCATAATTAGACAAAGATCGATTTGTGACATTACAGCATTATAAAAATATTCTTAAATAGTTTCAATTAAAGTAACCAGCGAAAGAGATAAGAAAACAAACAAGGAAACAAAAAAAAACAAACAATCACTTTTTACAATTTCCGAACGCACTCGAACGAAAATAAACAGTAAACGTTAACTTGACAGCTGTCACTAGTTATCACAAATTATAAAGTTGAAATGCAATGTAAACAAAACAAAAAATGCTCGTACTTGTGTTTTGAGAATAACAAACCAAATTATTTACTGGATTGTCAGATAATTACAAGTGGAGTTGGATCATTGGAACTGTGCAGTAGCGTGAGACTATCACTGTCTCCGCGAACCTTTGGCGGCTATACTCGACCTCGCTTTGGGCGGAGATATTGCCTTAGGATATTTAGCTATAAGTAGTTCGAGCTCGTCCGGTGATGTTATTTTGTGGCGGCTGTTATCGCAAGGTTTAACGACTATAGTGCCATCCTGTGTCCAGCAGGCCGACATGCCGAAATGTTGCCGGGCTCTGCTGAAGGCCATCTGTCGGGTTTTAGTAAGAAACTCTCTTACCGAGAAACCGGACCCCTTCAACGTCGTCTTCGCCTTCCACACTGCAGCTCGAGCGCCTTCCACGCTGACGAGAACCTAACCAGCACCGGACGACGTCGTTCCTTGGATGGAGTACCAATGCGGTGACAAGTTTTGAAGTTGGATGTTGTGACATCTTTGATACCCATCTTTTGTTCAAGAATACCAAGCAAGGTCTTGCTACAGTCCTCCTTTATAGCTTGTAACGGTGCATTTCGCGCCATTACAGTAATTTGAACCTTTGTCTCGTTTTTGTTTTGTTAGGTTGAATTTTTTGTCGTTTCTGCGAGTGCCGATGGTCGAGGGACGGACGAGAGTAATAATCGATGTTGTTCGCCCGCGATTGGTTAGTCGATTTGGTTTTTCTTGTCCTGGCAACATTTTTGTTTCCCCGCTCTATGAAGCGAGAGGCTATTGCACTGGTATCACTTTGACTTTCACTTTTGGACCGGCCGCCGAGCGAAATGAGGCAAAGGAGTCTTGTCATTTAATTTTTTAGAAATCCGTATTTATTTGATATGGACGAGGGCCTACTTCCTCTTTAAATGTTTGGCCAACCTAGTTAAGACTCGAGCTAGTGGATCGAGTGATTATTTTTGATAAAAAAGGTGAGTTTGTTCGGCCACGTGCTTCACGCTTGGCTTGGCGGAATTTGTGGTTTTAACTCTTTGTTTAATTGGTTACAGGCAATGCTTATAATGCTTATAATGCCGCTGCTTGATTTGTGAAACGTTTTGGAACCCTGGTAAGTGAAATATGATTTCTTGTCAGAGTTATGATTCATACTGTGAGATAGGCTTTTAACCTATAATTTTTCCTTATTTGCAGATGAATCAGGGTTTCTTTTTTAGCTTATATCTAAAGTCTTTACATCACCTAAATTATTTTACTTTCTTATTGGAATGTCCTTGCGT